TTTTTTATGTGAATGTTTATCATCTGATCTGGCCCTTACATTATCCTCCTCCATCCTCTGCTCCTGACTATAACCCGGAGATTCTCTATCATTAGACTCTCCCCTAAGAGAAGTCTCTGTCCGATTCACATGCTCCTCTGCAGCAGTTGGCTTTCCCCCATCTCCTAGTTTAAAAACTGTTCTACAACCTTTTTAATGTTTAGTGCCAGCAGTCTGATTCCACTTTGGTTTAGGTGGAGCCCATCTCTCCTGTATAGGCTCCCCCCATCCCAAAAGTTTCCCCAGTTCCTAATGAATGTGAACCCCTCCTCTCTACACCATCGTCTTATCCACGCATTGAGACTCTGAAGCTCTGCCTGCCTACCTGGCCCTGCGCGTGGAACTGGGAGCATTTCTGAGAATGCCACCATAGAGGTCCCGGATTTCAGTCTCTTCCCTAGCAGCCTAAATTTGGCCTCCAGGACAACTCTCCTACCCTTCCCTATGTCATTGGTACCTACATGTACCACAACTACTGGCTCCTCCCCAGCACCCCATAAGTCTGTCTAGATGCCTCGAGAGATCCGCAACCTTCGCACCAGGCAGGCAAGTCACCATACGGTTCTCCTGGTCATCATAAACCCAGCTATCTACGTTTCAGTGCTCGAATCTCCCATTACTAACACCTGCCTTTTCGTAGCAACTGGAGTTCCTTCCCCCGGAGAGGCAACCTCAGTGCAAGAGGCAACCCCAGCACCATCTGGAAGGAGGGTCCCAACTATGGGAAGGTTTCCCTCTGCTCCCGTTGACTGTTCTGCTTCCCTGGGCCTTTCATCCTCCTCAACAGCGCAGGGGCTGTCTGACCGGAGTGGGACAATTCTACAGTGTCCCGGAAAGCCTCATCAGCATACCTCTCTGCCTCTCTTAGCTCCTCCAGTTCTGCTACCCTGGCCTCCAAAGTCCGTACGTGGTCTCTGAGGGCCAGGAGCTCCTTGCACCGAATGTACACATACGCCACCCGCCCACAGGGCAGGTAATCATACATGCTGCACTCAGTGCAATAAACTGGATAGCCCCCACTCTGTAGCTGGGCTGCTGCCTGCATTGTCTCCTAGCTAATGAAAGGGTGGTTTAAGCAAGAAGTTTTGAATGTAGTGAAAGGGTGGTTTAAGCAAGAAGTTTTGCCAGGTACATAGAAGGGCTCAGTGCATTTAAAGTTCAGTAGTAAAAGAATTCTAATATAAATACTGGCACATGTGTTTTTTAATTCTGTAAGTCAGCTGAGCATTCTTCATAACAATCTCTCTAATAAAGGTAATACTCTATACAATGTAGTGAAAACCTTTCCAGGCATCTGTTGCAAATCAGATTTAGCAGTGAATAGTAATGGGAAATGACCTTTAGGATCTGATTAAGGAGCTTTCACTCTTTTATGTCTTGAATTTATCCTCATTTAAGGTTTTTATGTACATGCTGTTTGAACCTCACGGCTAAACTTAGATGCCATCCACAGTTTATTTTTGAACAAGGAGGAAAAAAGGTCCCTTAATAAAAGGGGAGAATAGTCCGTACTCATTATGGCAATAGTAAGTTATTAAGTTCTCTGCCAAAATCCAATCACAGTAAAAGTGTTGGTGTGTGTTTGTTCATGGCTTTTCTAACATAAACATTTTTCCTTTCTAATTGCTGAAGACTTACACAGTGGTGATGCCGACCGGAGAGTAATTTCTAAGTAGTCACAAATTAAAAAAAACAGGTTGATAAAAATGTTAGTTTTGCATATAGACGCTGCTTACATTTATCTGGTTCGCAAAAACAAACCTGATTATCTCAGCCTGACAAACTGTAGTTTTACTCAGAATATATACATAAACTGTATTATCACAATTATAAATTATGTATTTTTGAGGTTCATTTGCAGCCTCCTGTAGTCCCAGTTTTCTAGACTTTGGCATTCTGCAGATTTTTGCTCCTTTGCCCTGTTGCAGATTCACTGAAGTACAAACGCATCATCCTCATGCATCTCCTCTGGCTCTCCACTTCAGAGTACAGTTTAGAATTGTCCTTGTTACAGCAGAACCTCAGAGTTATGAACACCAGAGTTACGAACTGACCAGTCAACCCCACACCTCATTTGGAACCAGAGTATGCAAATACTGTGTTAAACGTAAACTACTTAAAAAAAAAGGCAGCATTTTTCTTCTGCATAGTAAGGTTTCAAAGTTGTTGTAAACTTTTGAGAGAACAACCAGAACGTTTTGTTCAGAGTTACAAACAACCTCCATTACCGAGGAGTTTGTAAATCTGAGGTGGTATTGTATCAGAAGGACAATTATAACTTATTTTTTTAACTAGGTCTGTTTCCTGCTCCTCCTCCAAGTTTTTCTATATCCTCATGTTCCCTCAGAAGTGAGATTATGCGGTAGGGCAGAGAACAAGACAATTTTCCTCTGCAGCTCTTTGTCTCTGGAACATCCTAATTGTGTCTGTCTTGAAGCTCCATAACATTGTAATTCTCAATGATAATCTAGTGGGCCAAATTCATGCCTGGTTTAACTCTGTTAAAGTCAGCAGAATTAAATGAGGCTTGAATTTGACTTTTCTTTCTCTAGTTTAATTATGTCTTAATTTTGCTCTCCCTCTGTGTGCAGTTTAACTTTGTAACTGTGTTTAATGCCTAAAAAATTTGGAAAATGGCTTGTATAAAATATACTACATAAAATTAAATTGTGTCCTAATGTACCTTTTTAATTTTGAATAAAGGTTTTGTAGTGATAATGGTGAAAGTGTTAATTGAAAACTAGTACTAAAATAATTTCTGCTGATGTTGGAATGAACAGTGATCTCAGCTGCTTGAATGTTTTTAATATGATACGATCTGATTCCATACTAAATGAATTCTTTTTTTTTTCTATGTAATAGGCTTTGCTGAACAACTCACATCTGTATCATTTGGCCCATGGAAAGGATTTTGCTAGTAGGGGAATTGAAAGTGAGTATGCAGTACAAGTTAGTGGTATTGCAAACAAGTATGGTTTTGCGCAGTGTCTTTTAAATATGCAAATCTTTGATTACTTTAACTGCTTGAATAGGTAGTAAGAAAACTTAGCAGGTTTTCCAAAATCAACTGAAATGTTAGAGACTTGTTTCTATTCCTTGAAATCAGCTTCTTGGATAATTTTGACTTAGAATGTTTCATTTATTGCTGTAACAAAATAGAACTGGCCTCTAGCCATATTTGAAAAATATAAGGTTATTTTTTGTATTTTGATGGCAGAATGCTCTCTTTAGCCCAGTTAGTGGGGGTCATTCCGCGCATCTTACTGTGACATACAGAACTCATTTGTTTTCAGATAACTTTTAAGTTAAGAGATGGATAAAGATACTGAAATACAAGGGAAAAGTAAAGCTGTATTAAAAAATTATAGTTACAGGAATCCACTTGAATTTAGAGAAGATGATGGAGCAGAAAAGTGGTGCGGTGAAGTCCTTGACAGGTGGAATTGCCCATTTGTTTAAACAGAACAAGGTTAGTTTGGGCTGTTTGTCTGTCATATTGTTTTTCTGGGTAAATTTCTCCTTTTCTATTAAATCTCCTTTTCACCTCAGAGATTAATTAGAATGGGTAATGAATGATCAGCAGTGATGGAATTTGACCACTTCACTTTTGGGAAGACTTGATTATCTGCAGTTCACTATTTTTATATTTAGTTATTTTTTCCTTTCACATTATTTTCCAGTTTGCAATATAGTGATATCAAGGTTAGTTTATCCGTGGAGAATTCATGCTTCGCTAGAGATGTATTGAGATTCAAGTTATTTTGGTTGTAAAATATTTATGCATTAATTTAAATTGTGAAAGTTTGTATTTACTGTATTCTCATTTGTAAAGGTCGTACATGTGCCTGGATTTGGAAAAATAACTGGCAAAAACCAAGTCACAGTATCCAAAGAAGATGGTAGCACTCAGGTTATCAATACAAAGAATATCCTCATAGCCACGGGTTCAGAAGTTTCGCCGTTCCCTGGAATTACGGTATAATTTAAATAGTAACCTTTAATGGTACAGTGTTTTTCATTATCGTGTTATTACTGGTTGTCATTACTGAGTAACAATTTTCTATAGCTTATTAGTTATTGCTGTGAGATAGATACTTTAGACAGTTTGAATTTTGTATATAGTATACAGAAAATCTCTGTAAACTTCCTTCTTGAGGAGGTAAAAAGCTTTCTCCTTCGTTCATTATTAGATTGATGAAGACACAATTGTATCATCAACTGGTGCACTATCACTGAAACAAGTCCCTGAAAAGATGGTTGTAATTGGTGCAGGAGTCATTGGTGTGGAGTTGGTAAGAGGCTTATTTATACAACTTATGCTTCTAGTAGATAAAGAAACAGGATGTAACCATTTGGCACAGATGGATCTGGAATTACAAATGTTAATCTGTACATTGTGTTAGTATTTAATAGGGGATGATACGGCTGAGGGGATTTTTAATGTGTGAGAGAGAGAGAGAGAGAGCATTTCCTCTCCAAGTCACTGGTTAGATCATCCCACATTGGCAGTGAGCAAGAGTTATGATCTGATGGCTGAGTGATAGTCTATATGAAAAGCCAGGTTGTAGTTCAGTTCTCAGTGGACAAGTGTCCACATTATTAAAACTACTGTAACTTGTTGGCAGTCTCAGCAGAGAGTTGGAGGATTGGATGAGCATAAAGGGTGAAGTACATTCTTGCCTCTAAAGCTCTCCCAGTTCAGTGATATGGGGAAGCTTGTACTGCAGTTGCCCCTGCTGAACCTGGTCTGTACATTAATAGAGAACTTCACTGTAAAGGGCTGTCATTTTAGCACCTTTAGAAGCATAAACACACTTGCAGCATTTAACATCAGGAAATCTTGTTGATAGGCTGTTTGTTTATCATAGCTAATAACCAATGGAGTAACATTTTGGAATTGAAAGAGGCCATGCAGCACTTCTAGGTCTGTCTCCTTTCTCCCCCTGTACCCTGCCCATCCCCACATAGATCTAATATTTCAAAAATATATTCTTTGGCCTTACAAAACTACCTTGAAAATGTGGTCAGATCATGCCATGCCCAGCCCAGGCACAAAATCTACTCACCAGCTTTTTACTTTGATTTTAATGGGAAAAAACTGCAATATTTTACTTTCTCTCTAAAGTGTATGGGTGTGAGTGGGGGAGACTTGCTTAAGACAGGTAGATTTTTGCAAGGATGATGATGATGGTTATAGCTCTTGCTTTTGCAATTGCTTATGCACTTTTTGGCGCAGTGACTTGGACAGTGAGTTCTCTTAAGTAAAATTAAAGCTATCTGGCATTGTTTTGATAGGTATGTACTTACAACATTTAGTTCTATTGCCAAGGCAACCAGTGAGCGAAGTAGTGTGCACAGCTAGTCTACGAGGAAATGAGCTTACGTTATTGTGTGTCCTCCCTTCACCATTCCTGTGCCCCAACTTTTGCATGTTTGTTTCATACACCATTTGCATCTTATTGACCTAGACTAGGGATCTCAAAGTCAAATCACCACGAGGGCCACATGAGGACTAGTACATTGACCCAAGGGCCGCATCACTGAAACCTTTTCATACAACGATACAAAAGTATAGTCAAAAATGAAGAGTAATATAGTATGCTATTAAAAGTCAATGTATTAACTTTTTAAAAACTGTAATGCAAAGAGGGGTTTTAATAAAATATAAACACCTGTAACTATTCCTTATGTGGTCAGTAATATTGATGATTATCTACACAAACAGTCTATCAACATAGCTGTAATGGCAGGAACTTTATAACATAACTATTCGTACAAAATACTTTGCCACTTTTAACAAACATTCTTCCCAACCACTCACAGCAAAGAATCATACATACTGAACTTCATACCTCAGACTGCTTGTCTAGTCCATGAGGCCCTGCTGCTGCCTCATCAATTCCCACCCATTCCCCGTCCTCATTCCAACCCCTTTTCCAAATCCTCCCCCTGGCTCTGCCTCTTCTCCGCCTCCTCCCCTAAGCGCACCACATCCCCGCTCCTCCCCCGTCCTCCTTGGAAAGTCCTAAGCGCCACCAAACAGGTGTTTGGTGGTGGGAAGTGCTGGGAGGTAGGCGGAGGAGTGGGGATGCAGCACGCTGGGAGGGAGGGGAGCTTGGCTGCCAGTGGAGTTGGCGCCTATGGTGGGCTGCAGGAAATAACTCCGGTCCATGGGCTGCATGTTTGAGACCCTGACCTAGACTATAAGATCTTTGGGATAAGGACTGACTTTTTATTACAAATTTGTACAGCACCTAGCACCACAAGGTCACAGTCCCTGTGACTGTAATACATATAAACAATCTAATACATACATATTCCCAGGTGGAGTTATGGGCACATATCATGTTTAGCACTATTGTAGTGCTCCAATGAAGGCCTTGTCATGCTATGCATTGCCCCATCCTGAAGAACTTACAATCTAAGCAGTAAATATTAAACCATGGAAGATTGCAGTTTCTCTTTCAAAGGTGTTTTTCTTTTTAAAAACAAAATAATGGTTTATTGTATTGACTGCAGGGTTCAGTTTGGCAGCGTCTTGGTGCAGATGTGACAGCTGTTGAGTTCTTGGGCCATGTTGGTGGAATGGGTATTGATATGGAGATCTCTAAAAACTTTCAGCGCATCCTTCAGAAACAAGGACTCAAATTTAAACTAAATACCAAGGTTACTGGTGCCACCAAGAGGCCAGATGGAAAGATTGATGTTTCGTAAGTGCTTAACACATGAAATCTGGGGCTGATATATCCTTCCCTACCAGAAATCTAACAAAAAGTACAGCTTTAGATTTGGGGTATAATTTACTGTATAAATAAAACTACAAACAATGACAGTGGGACATGAATCCAAATATCAACTAAATTGAAAGCTAAGGCTGGTTTAAACTGTATTCCTAACTTACTCAGTTGTTACAGTGCACGTGGGGATATAAAATTACATAGTTTTTTGGAACTCCAGTATCTTACTTAATGCCAGACGGGGTGAATGAAGGATGCAATTTCAGTCCCTACTGAGTACCTTACAGTTTGGAAGTTTAAATTAGGCCTTTATTTCCCTGATCCTACAGTCACTTTGTGGGCAAGACTCCCATTGACTTCAATCTGAAGAATTGCCAGGGTAAAGACATTGGTGTCTTAGTGAAAATAGTAAAAACAAAATCAAAACCTCACCTTTATTGGAAGACTTTCCCTCTGATACAGCATCAAAATAAGTATTTTTATTCTTCAGAGGATGCATCTCCGTGAATCCATTAATTCTTGACTCTTTGGTAACTGGTGTTGAGGTAAAGGTCATCTTGTCCATTATAAATTTTCTGGAGGCAAGGAGAGGTATGCGGAGCAATCCAGAATAGAAGGTAGTAAACTCTCCAGTAGTGCATTTTCATAACTAAACTGAAACCCACAGAAGGGATTTCTAATAGAAATGCTGATATGAAAACATACAGAACAGCTACTTCATGAAAAAAACCACACTTTGATGCTTTACCTGTATTTTCAGATTGTTTTCTCCCTGTATGGTGTTAGCACACCAAGGAAACTTAACATGAAATATGAATTTTAATGTCTTCAGAACTTATTTGCTTCTGTCCCATCTAGAAGTCAAAATTTTGTCTGACAATATAACGCTTACTACATAATTTTCCACTGCAAGCACTAGTGATTTTTCAAATGACTATGAATTCAGATGTAGGAAGGAACATAAGGAGTAAACAGTCTTTTTTTTGTTTGTTTGTTTGTTTTTAAATAGAAAAGTAGTATTAGTTTATTAATGAACAGTATTGGTTTATTAATGAAAAATGAACAGTTACATTGACTGTACACAGAAATTACTTTGTACACTTGTCCATAACAAATATAGAAATAAAACAGTATAACCTTGTCCTTAGCTCAGAGAGGTAGAACTGAAAGTAAATGAACTACTGAGCATGGATACCACAGAAGCACTCAGATACTGTGGTGATGGGAGCAGCTTATGGACCTAAATAAAATAGTATAACTCAATAATAATATAGTAGCAGTGCTTTATAGATTTCTGATACAGATGAACTCTGAAAAGATCTTGAGATCCCTGCCATCTGCAACTGTGGGCTATCTAAACAAAATCATCGCTCAATAGAGTGATTTCAAGCATTTCCACAATGCTGTCTAACTTTAGAGGTACAATGCTGTGGCTGTTGTTTCAGTATTTGTAGTATGAAAACAGAGGATGCAGGATAAAATATTACTCAAGTAATTGTGTAAATTTATGAAACTCATAATTTATGCTTTAGTTTAGTATATCACTTAATTGTAACGAGATTATAGTATGAGGTGAACTTAAACCGCAAGTCCGGTTTTGATATTCTTAAGCATACTATAGTTTGAAATCGTTTCTTGCATTTTATTGAGACCTTTCAATGCCCGTTCCTCTTCACTGCTATCTCTATATCTAGTGATTAGTCAAAGAAGTTACCAGGTCTCAATTATATTTAACATCTTTATGTTTTCTTGTAAGTGGTATCTGTTGACAGTTACTTTTTTTTTCTTCTCCCTATCCTTCAGTATTGAAGCAGCTGCTGGTGGAAAGACAGAAGTAATCACCTGTGATGTATTACTTGTTTGCATTGGTCGACGTCCTTTTACTCAGAACCTAGGGCTGGAAGATATTGGAATTGAACTTGATAACAAGGGTAGAATCCCAGTCAATACCAGATTCCAAACCAAAATTCCAAAGTAAGCAAGATGTTTAAAACAATTTTCATTAGTTTCCAAATAGTCACATTTTACTTCACATATTCCTAGCAAAGATAACAGAATTTTTATTTAGCATGAGAGATCTTTTTAAGAAAGAAAGAAAGAAAGAAAGAAAGAGGTTAATTACCCTACAAAAATACTACTTTTTGTTTTTAATAGTGGCTGACTATAGTTTAACTTGTTTAAGGAAAAGAAAATTCAAATTTACACTTCCAAATAAATTGCTACCGCCTATAGCGTTTTAGAAGCACAAAGGAGGGAGAGCAATGTACAGGATTGGGCCTTTAGTTTTCTCTTGGGTTAAATCAGGTCATACATGAAAAGTAAGCATTTCATAAATTACAGTAAAGTTTATAAAGTTATTTGAAAAAATATAACTAGTGCTAATCTATAGGAAAATAGCTGTTCAACTTAAATTGGAGGGCTAATCTAGCAAATTAAGTACAGAAGCAATACACATTCGGTAATTATTTTCATCTGTTTTTGTTAGACTTTCTGTTTACAAACATGTTTAAACTACTACATTTATCATATAATATATCTAAAATTCTCCATATGTACCTTTTTAAACAGCCATGTTTTGCTCTTTTTCATTTGTCTCATAGCATCTATGCTATTGGCGATGTAGTTGCTGGGCCAATGTTGGCTCACAAAGCTGAGGATGAAGGCATTATCTGCGCTGAGGGGATAGCTGGAGGCGCAGTTCACATTGACTATAACTGTGTGCCGTCAGTGATTTACACACACCCTGAAGTTGCCTGGGTTGGCAAATCAGAGGAACAGTTGAAAGAGGAGGTACTGTCTGGTTCTTTTTGGATCATATTACTTTAGGGTCTTGGATAAGTTAAAGTAAATGCATTTATGGGTTGTGGCTGCTCTGAATCACCGTAGATGTGTGTTCCAAGAAAAATATCATGTATTCACTCTCAGTGCTCTGATTTAATAAGGCTGGTATCTCAGCATCAAACAGGGTTGAGTCATTGTGAAAGTTCACCCGTTAGCAATGTGTTATCGAATAGTTGTTAATTGGTGATATTCATCTCTCCCTGTTGCCAACGTTGTGCAAAGCAGATGCAATTCATAACCCGGGAGAAAACTCTTCACAGTTTATAACAAGCTTTTAGTCTGAAATGACATCTTTTTGTGGCTTAATTTTATCACGGGTGTTTGGGGAGATATGTGCTATTACTGAGCAGTGCATTCAGCAGGCGTGTAAGATGCAACTGCACGCAGTGGTTCAAAGCACACTATGCCTAGCATACTGAGTCTACCTGCACAGTCATTGGAGGTCTGAAAAGCATCTATTAGGGGAAGAGTCTGCAAGTGCAGATGAGGTCTTAGTGCCATCAAAATGGGATCTGCTTCAGATCTTGTCTTGAAAAGCCACTACTCCTGCTGGAAGTGGGAATACAGCTGGCTCTGTGAATAGGGCACCAGGGATAGTAAATAGTGCCACACCAAAATATGTCCTCTTGCAGTCTCCCTGTTGCTCTCCAAGTGCAACTACTCTGCCCCCAGGCAGGATTGGCTTTGTTCAGGCCTGTAAATGTTAAAAATGTCTTGTCTAGTTGGGAATGCCAGATTATGGGGGTGGGTTGGTTGGTTGTTTTTTTGATAAATTGGCATCTGTATAACACTCCTTTGCAGTAAGAAAATATTTGATTTGAAATAATCACCTGTTCTAATTATTTACATTCGAATTCGTGGTTTCTCTTTAATGATTTTTCCAAACATGAAGCAACAATTTAAGAGCTCTAAACTGGTCTCTTGTGAGAGGTAATTTAAATGGTGCTGAATGTCTTAGTTCATGTCCAAAGTAAGATGGAGCAGTTACTCTTTTACAATTCATGCTAGTGAACTACTGTTCTTGAGTCATGTTTTATCTAATACTGGTAACAGGTGTTAAACATTTGTGAGTGTTTTATGAATGGAGAGCAATGCAAATAGTACAATGTAATAATTGTCAGTCAGGTGGGAACTAACCAAGGGTTTACATTAGTCAAATAGGTCATCTAAGCTGCAGTTTCAAGTGAAAAATGAAGTATACCTGAATTTATGAATGTGTACAAATATAATTTATGCTGAGTATATTCGATGGTAGCACCGTAGAGCAGGAACTGTCTTCTATGTATTTGAACAGTGTCTGCACAATAAAACTTCCACCCACTCCTGCAATATACACATTCACTAGTCCTTTGTGTTTCTGCAGTACACTGTGTAAATTGTCAGTGACCCATACTTATATTCTATAGGGGACAGAATACAAAATTGGAAAGTTTCCATTTGCTGCTAACAGCAGAGCTAAGACTAATGCTGACACAGATGGCTTGGTGAAGATACTTAGTCAGAAAACAACAGACAGGATGCTGGGCGCTCACATTCTAGGCGCAGTGAGTATTATAAAAGATGGGAACCTCTTTCCCAGTTTCTCGGCTCCAATGGTGATAACTTATAAATTAAGAATTGTGTTTTTGTATATCTGAAAAATGTTAATCTTCTAGTTACCAGGTTTTGAGAGGCATTAGTCAACCTAAAAGCTCAGCTAAATCCATTATTTTCCTTCCAAAAAAAGAAAAAAAATCAGGCCAAGCGTTTGAGTCTCTTGAAGTCACTGTATTTAGTATTTATTTTACATACTTTATTAACTCTGAATTAGACCTCATCATTTTCTGGCCAAGGAAGGCTGGATGCCACTTCTTTTTGGGTTAATCAGGTCTTCTCCTTGAGTCTCCAGGAGGGGGTGGTACAGAACAATGTGAAGTGTTGATCCATGCCATGGAAACTGAGCTAGCATCTCAAACAATAACCACCAAGAGAAGCATGGGTCAGAATGACATTTCTTTTGCCTTCCTGGCAATTTGTATACAATTGGGGTATTGTTCACCACTGCCATCAATATCAAGAGCGAGTTTTTGGTTGAATGTACACTTGCATTCTGTCATTATTTACTCTGGTGTGAATTATTATAGCAGTCCAAGGTAGTCCGATGTATAGAACAGTGCAACTGTTTTGTATTTTTATCCTTTCTCAACTATACTGTGTATGTGTGACAGGTGTGGGTAGAGTCACTGACTAAATTAACCAGATTCTAATACTTAGCACTGCTGAATATGATTAGTTTTTTAGCAAAAGACAAAGCCTACAGGCAAGCTGGCTGTTTCATAGCCAGCTAGTAAGTTAGAAAAGCTTATGCATAGATTACATGTCTTTGCAATTGTACAGTTTGCACTAATTATACATGTGTTACTTACAGGGTGCTGGGGAGATGGTTAATGAAGCTGCTCTTGCTATGGAATATGGAGCATCATGTGAAGATGTAGCCAGAGTTTGCCATGCCCATCCAGTAAGTTGGCATTAAGTAATTTATCATTCTGTAATTTTTTTCTTAGTGTTTGGTGTATAGCATATACAGTTACATAGGAGTTAAATACTTGTTCCCTCATTCTGTTCTAATGACTTTTACCTTTGTTTTTGCTTCCTACAGACTGTCTCGGAAGCCTTCAGGGAAGCAAACCTAGCAGCATCTTTCGGCAAAGCTATCAACTTCTAAAATGCAAGCACAATCGTTTGTACATATATAGCACATTTCTTCTGAAAATGGACTGTTGGCTTTTGCAGAAGACTGGGTCTTTGAGTATTTCTAGAACTGAATTAAGTGAATTTCTTTTGTTTAAACATCAATTATTTAAACACATTTGGTTTGGAACAAGTGGAATTATCCAGTCGCTGTATATTAATACACTTAGAAACTTGTTTGTGCATCATGGGTATTTCGGAAAACAAGCTTAAGAGTCAACAATTAAAAAAACCCAACACGTCACTGTTGCACAGCATAATGAGGAACGCTGGCCACAACTCATGGCTAATACCGTCCTGGTATCTGGTATATTCTTATTTGAAATACTGATATTCCAGTGGAATGCTGGCACTTAAAAATGCCACTGTCACCTGTGCACAAAGACGTTGTGGCATTCTTTTATGTGAAATCTTTCACTATATATTAACTCTTTTTTTCCCCCTGAAATGCAGAAACCAAACCTTTTGGTTACTTTGTTCTAGTAGAGTTGGGATTACTTGGATGAGGCTATTTACTGCGGGTGAATTGAAGCTTATCTTTATTTGTAGAAAGCTAGTCTGGCAGTGTTTGTACCCTTTATCTTCATGCATCATGTTTTCATATTGAAAACATGTCTGTAAAATTCTGTTTTAACTTGCAAAAAAAATCAAGCGATTATGAAGAAATTAAAATTCAGGGGAGGAAAATTAACTGAATGTTATTGCCACATAGGGTAATCGTATCAGTCTTCTCATTTCTAAGGAATTTTCATCATTCAGAGATGGTTAAAATTATCCTGAAGTGCTTTAAAAACATACCTTTGTGGAAGGCTAAGCAACATTAGATCTAAGTGCAGTGGCACCCTGCACAAAGATGGGGTTAGGCACCTCTCTGCTCTTTCCAAACATACTGGCTGCAGTGGTGCCATGTCAGTTCCCCAGCAGATTCTAGGGTGCTTTTTTCCCTCCTTTTCATTTCTGTTTTGTCTGTTCTCTCCTCTGCTGTTTAAAATCTGTTTTCCTGCAGCAGGAATGTTTCATATTTTGGCTGGGGAATTCAAGTGTTTGTAGGTGGCTTGACCGAGAGCTTGATATAGAAGGGTTAGTTTCCTTTATTAAGCTCTTGAGTTCCTCTCTGCAGCTAGCTCCATGCACTCCTTATGGTGGTTCCCTCAGCTCGTCTGCACTGAGGATTTTCTGAAATTCTCCTACCATTGCTCTAGCACAGGCTCCGCTTCACTGGTGCAAGTGCAGACTGGCTGTTGGTGTTTTTACCACCAGGTCATCAGAACTGGTCTAGAGCTGCACTACTGATGGGAGAATTTCTGGAGACCCATGTAATGCATGTGCCTGTCTATCCCCAAAACCAGCCAAGCTCTTATGTGCAGGGGATAGATAATTGCTGGGTATGAATGAATGAAATGCACAAATGGATAAGCCAATTAGTCTATCACTGTGGACTGCTGCAGTTCGCACAATGATTTTGTGTGAGGGAAACTGCCCAAGTGTAGCAACTTGTTCGTTTTCCTTGTGGGCTTCATTCCTTCATTTACTGGGCTCTTGTTTTGTCCTGATCCCCAAAGCATAAATTTGATAGGTCTTGGTGTCAGCTGCAGTCATTGCTTCTAAACCCTAATAGGAGGGAACATGCTCAGGTGATGCTTTTTAAAAAAAACAAAAACTAGAGCTGCTCAACTTTGTGTTTGCATGATGAGACTTTTGGTAGCTATATCCTCCAGCTACTGATCTCTGTATTGATTTGTTCTCTGTTGAATAATGGCAATATGATCAGCATTTGGTTACTCAGTATTTTTAGGAAACTGTAAACAATAGCAAAACTCTGAAATTAATATGCTTTTCTGTCTCTTCTGACCTGTCTTCAGTATGTTGCGGAGGTGGATTGAGGCTATCTCAGTGTTCTGAGCTGACTGAATGCACCCATGAGTTGGTGAGAGAGCCAGAATAAACGGGGGTTTACGTGGAGGTGATAGCAAGGAGTCCCCGAGGGAAGCAAAGATTAAGTGTGTTTTGTGAAACTGGGGAGGGAGGAAGAAAGATCTGGGACACCTGGAATGGAAAAAAAAAGCCTTACATTTTAGTGGATCCAGGACACATTTACTTCTAATCCACCTCTGTCTTTTGGATAAATTCTTTGGAGTTGTCCCCTGGCATATTGCAAGCTTTCTATATGTCCCTTCTGCAGCATGCCTGCTCTCTACTTACTAGAGCTGGCCAAAACAATGGGAAACTTTTTCACAAAATCTTGTGAAAAACTCATGGTTTGTTTTTTTTAAGGTCTCTCTGCCTGTTTGAACACCAGCGTGAATTTTTCCACATATTTCATCTTGTTTTTGTCAAAACAGAAAACTTAGGAAATTGACTAGCTCTACTACTTACTAATTTGTTTGGAGGTCTGGTTCTCCCTGACCTCTCTAAATAAATAAAATTCAAGCCCTCACATCTTGTTAATGTATCGTTCTTCTCTCTCCATGCCATTCTCCCCCAACTACTCATACAAAGGAATATTTTTAAAGGGTAGAGAAGTAAAATGAGAATACTAAGAACCACCTTTAAAGGAATGACTGACAGCAGGTCTGTATGCTTCAGCACTGTTCTAACAAATGCCTGATGTTGGCAAGAAATTAAACACAATGTGAGAACTTGATACATACAACAACAAAAAACCTTGCAGATTACATTGCTGTAAGTATCCAATTTAAGTGGGAATAGAGATTGGAGTAAAACTTATTTAGCTGAACTTATTTTTCCTGCCAAAAATAGTTGTTTCAGTGCCATACAATGGAGATCTTGAGTCAAACTCTGATTTTCACCAACATTAGTTAAAGTATTAGTGAGTGAAGCATAGTTATGTCTTGACTACCAAAATATGCAGTGCATGTAGTTACACATTTTGGAAAGTCTTAGTAGGAGATGGCTGCTATATAGCCATGTACTTGAGAATTTCTCAAATATGTAACAGTTTTAAACAAACTGAAGCCGAGGGAAAAATTTATGACTGGCAGTATGTTTTAATAGACTTCCCTAAATTCATGTATGCAGTGTTGTATGGAGCCAGGTGGTCCCACGATATGAGAGATGAAGAGTTCTTTGTAAGCTCAAAAGCTTTTCTCCCCCCGAGAGAAGCTGGTCCAGTAAAAGAGATTACCTCACCCACTTGCTAAACTCATGCTGCAGTCAAGAAGGATACTGGCTAACATGGTTGAAGACCACATTGACTGCTGCAAACATTTTCAAATGACTGAAGCAGGATTTTCTTGTATATGTTTCTAATACTCATCGCTTTGTCTTTCAATCTTTATACCTGTACAGTGCAGGCTACCAGTGTTTGTTTGTGTGCATTAGTCTTTAGGCATTGTGGGCTCTGCCCTCTATTGCAGAGAAAACCAAGATGTGCTACAACTAGGCCTCTGTACAAAGGCAAATGGGCAAATTCATTTAAAGGATGGTGAAGCCATTCACATGATTTGGTATCTTTTTTGATAAAGTTTTGGTCCCAGAAGCTCATCTTGTCCTGTGTTCTTTATGGAAAAAGAGGTTGGACACTGTGGTGCTAGAAATCCAAACTGGTCTCAATACTGACTTTTTCAACCTACATGAGAAACATTGTTTGTGAACAATGAAGTGAAACTTGTGTGTCAAAACTACCAGCTAATTTGAATTTAAGTGAACATCCTGTAGAAAGTAAGTATTCAAATAGAAATGCTGACTAGTAAAACAACTCCCCCCCACAACTTAGGCAGGAACACCAGTTCTTCACTAAAGGCTGGTCTACAGTACCACGCTAAATCAATCTAAATTACACAGCTTCAGTTATGTGAATAACATAATTGAAGTCGACTGAGTTAGATCCACTACATGGTGCTGTGTTGACAGGAGAGCGTCTCCCCTTACGCTTCTCAGGGAGGTGGAGTACACAAATTGATGGGAGAGTGCTCTCCCATTGATTTAGCATGTCTTCACCAGACCCTCTAAATCGACACTCGCTGCATCAATTGCAGCAGTGCAGATCTACTGGTAAGTGTAGACATGCCCAAAATGTGGCTTTGTTTTTTTTAAGTCATCCTTCTGTATTTCACAGAAATGGAGCCGCCTTAGTCAAAATTAACTTGTTAAAAGCCCGCCTTTTGGAGCTAAGATTTTATTAGAACAGTACTCTAATTGGGTTAAACAAGATTTGTATAAGCTGAAGAAATAATTGATTTACTATTCCAGCTAGTAACAGTAACAATGAAGTTAATTAATCATACTAGATACATACAGTGGTACAAAAGTACTGCTTTTATTTTCAACATAAGAAAAAATTACTCTTTGGTTTTGTAACTTTAAAAAGTGAGAAACCTGTCAAGATTACCAGGTCTTATTGTGATGTCAATGAGAACTAGTTTATCAAACTTAATACTTTTAAGCCCATCCAGGATACATTGGGTCCAGACGGTTTCCCAAGTTATAAGCAGGTGCTGTATACTGCAACTTTCTGGCTGATTGCCTGTAAGAGGGAGCGCACTGTTTCTTCTAGCTCCACCAGCTGTTTGGCTTTGTCTTCCAAGACTTTCTGATTGTTCTCATATGTGCTTTCCAAATCTGCAGGGAAAAGGGAGAAAAACTAACAGATGACTATCAGCTGTTTTTTGGGCAGTAAAATCATACCTGTATTTAAAGTGTTAATTCTGATCTTTGAGATTAGACGATACATATCTGGGCCTGACAACTTGTCTCATAATACTGTGGAAACAATGGGGAGGAAGTACTTACCTATAAATGAAAACATACAACTGTGTCCTTTAATTCATGTTGTAAAAATGACTTAGGGATTCTGCACACACTTGAAAGGACACTAGAGAGTGTGTTGGCTTAGTTATGGTCAGACTATTCAGTGAATCATTGCAAATAAGGGATTGATGTAAGGAAGAGTGGTTGGGGGTGAGTACAGCTTCCCCATGTCTCGTAAAAGCAGACGAAGTTCCCATTCCGCCCTGGTTGGCAAGGTGAGAGCTCCCCCTCCTGTTTCAATGTACAGCACTAAATGTGGAATTCTTAAAACTGTTCTGTTGGAAGTTAACTTCAATTTTTAAAAAGCAACTGCCAGTATCACTTTGGGTTATGATCGTGACAGATCTTTCTAGAATAACAGTGCTTGGATGGGAGATACCCAAGACTAAGGTGCTGCAGGAAATCACTACTTTTAGTCTTTCAAGGTGCCATGGCACTTGACATATTAGCCTAGTCAAATTAGTTAGGATAAATTATGTTCTACCTAATCCTCCCAGCTGAAGTTTTAATTGGATACAATTTTCATTTTCTTTCCTAAAGAGTTGTGCAATGTTATGTGCTGTTGATCAGTGACTGCATTTCTCCCAAGAAGTAGTTGCACCACACTGGTGGGTGAATTGATCTCTGTAAGTGTGTAAAAGGATGTTTGGATCATTAGAAAAGTGTTCCATATACTGTGTACAGAAGTGTGTGAACCACTGACAATTAATTAAAAGTTCATTTTATTTCCTTTCTCCAGCTGCTGAACATTAGCACTGTTCATTCTGCAACATGAAACATTACTTCAAAATCTGAAAGGAAAACCTTTTCTCGTGCAGGCAGTCTTACCCTTGAGCAGCTGGAGTTTGCTGTTTGCTTGAGCTAACAATGATTTAGCTTCATTCTGCAGCATTCCAGCTTTCTTCCTGGCATCAGCAGACTCTTCTGTTTTTTTGGCAATTAGGTTTTCAACTGTTTTATAGTTGGCATGCAGTTCACTGTCAAGTACCTGCAGTTTCAAATTCACAACACAAGGTGGGGTTATTGCTCAGAAAACTGCAAAGCAAATGCCTGTTTCACCACTTGAACAGATGGTCTGAAACTTCTGCTGCTTCTGTGGAACTGAGACATTACTAGTGAGGATGTAGGAATGAAAGATTTGACAGCACAAAGTGTGTTCTAGTATTATTGCAGCTCTTGGCTCAGTTGTCCCAACATTCAGCTTTTGCTTTAGTTACCTCCCCCCCCCCCCTTAACTATTAGCATTCTCATTCATGTTTAATGCCTGCTAATGGCAGACACTTCTGCTGATCATCCACCCTTTCTAGTTATGTGGCTGGTCTGTTTCAATATCTAAACTTTCAAATGCTGTACAGGATTCAGCCACAGAATTCGTGACTAGTGAGAGCAAATCCTGCACAGCTTTCCAATTTAAGAGTGATTAACAGGTCTTGCTTCTAGAAGTGCAGATTCAGTACAGAAGAGACCATGGCATCGCTCCTATTGTTGACAATTGCCAGACAGGAGCAGTGTCAAATAGATGGAGTTGAAAATAGGGCACCGTGTTGTATATAGATAGATAGATAGTACTTAATCTTCAACTATCATGAACAGCTCTAGAATTGGTGGTTATCTCACCTATAGTGACTCATGAAGTCACAAGCACTTCCCAGATGTTACAGAAAACACAAGGCTAGTGTCTCAGCTGCACTTCACTTTTTTGCAGCGCAGAAATCTCCTGCAAGTCTCCAAATATCCCTGGCAGGGAGGAGGCCCCATCAGGTGTAGAGCTGGCAAAGTCAGCTCCTACATCTCCCGGCAATCCCTGGCCAGGGCAACTGTTGGGACAGGTAGTGGATGCACCAGACAATCTGGTCTGTAGATTAGAATCCTGAAAACTCACCAGCAGTATGAGCAGCATGAAATGTGCCATCTACAGCATAGGTTTGATTTAGGAAAATTGTCACTACTACGGCAAGGGTCCTGACAACATCTGTTATCACTTTTTTCTGTCTTTCCTCCTCCCATGCTAAATAATCAGACTCTTGTACTTGTTATTAAGCAGCATTTCAGAGGCCCCTTGTTTAAAACTAAGTGTTGCTTAAAGGTTAATTCCAACATCTTCACTCTTTTGGGAAAGGGAAGGCTCCTTTGAGACAGATGACTTTATTGTGGACAATAGATTGGAGCAGTGAGACTTCCTTTGACACAGAACTTTTGTTTTCAATCGTTTGAAGGCTGAAATAAATCAGAATCCTTCTTAAAGGTACTGACTTTAGAAGAGACTCCATATAGACACGGCTTAGAAAGACACTGCTATGCTTGCAAAACATTTGACACTTTAGATAACTGCTTACCAAACACTAACTAGAGGAGCAGGCTGGCAAGTGTTACATTGAGAGATGGAATCTTTTCTCCAGTGACTGAAGCAATGGGGGAATTCCCTTCAAAGTGCCAAGTTACAAGTACCTTGTTTGACAGCTGAATAATGTATTGTACACACAGTGACCTCTCATTCATAGACCCCAAGGCACTTCACAGAAGGTAAGAAAACCCTATTTAAATCCATTTTAGAGATGGTGAAACTGAGGCACAGGGAAGTGGTGCCCAAGGTAAAAGTCACTGGCAGTTGAGAGTAGAACTGAGATTTACCAATTTGTAACCCTACACTTAAATACATCAGAATATGGAGATCGCTCACCTCTCCCTGACTGACAGCTTTCTGCTCGTCTAGGAATTGGAAGTTGGCAGGCTTTTTCTGCCATGTAGGTTGGTGCCAAACCAAGTAGTAATTAAAGTATTGGCAAATGGACCCAGCATTACCTTACTAATAAATGAATTGGGAGCAACAAGTCTGACCTAGTTCACTGAACGATGCCAGTAATATTCCTGGGCAGCTAGCTTGCCGACGCCTGGTGCCCAAGCATGACAAGATTATGGATAAAGCTGGCAGTAGCACTGAAATGCTTTTATCCCGAATATAACTCCCAGGGATTGTATTTTTGAGGAAGTCAGCTGGCAGGTAGGTATCTCACCTCTTTAACTTCTTCGGCATTTTGCTTCACAGTAGCAATGGTTTCTTCAATCTCTTCCACATTCTCTGAATTTGTAGCAGCCTTTTGTTTAAGATCTTCCACACTCTTCTCTAGCTCAGTAAGACGTAGGGTAGCGTTGTTTAAGGTTTCTTCAGATGCTGCATTTTCAGATTCAATCTAACCAGGAATGAAAGAACAGTTTAAATATTCCCCCAACAAATGTATGCGTTGATTTTTGAAATCAGCTTTCTAGAGAAAAGTCTTGACCAACTATTTAAAATGTCTGTCTACAAAGTCTATCCTCAAACTGGCATTATGCAACTCTGAAATATCACCAATATACTATGAAATGACATGTGAGGGTTTTAAGAGTACAAATTACAATTTACAATTCAAGTGAAGTAAGAGGGGAATCAATTTTGAAAGTGAACTGTCATTAAAAGCATATCTTATGAAATGAAGAGAAATAACCTTTCATTCCTTGTACAACCCAAGCTGGCTGAAATCATTGACTTTTGAATGTCTTAGAATGCAAGACTGGAGCTGTAATGTGTTTGTAATTGGTAAGGATAGAGTTCCACTAACTTCTGAGAGCATTCCTGATGCACATCTGATACTCCAAAGGCGGGGGAGGAGATGCATCTCAGTGTAAGACGTCACCAAGACATCTGCAGTCTTGGCTTCAATTAATTGTAAACTCACATGAAATACATGG